CGTTTATCTATGCAAAGTTTCTACCTTTGGATTCAGTTTGGGGTTTTGAAAATTCTGGAGCAATGGGTCTGAGAATAGCTTAAGGTCGTATATTTTGTATTGTTTTGCTTGTAAAGTTACAATCTTGATTGGTTAGTGATGTGGTTACAAGGTTTTGGAGAAACTTGATGCGACTCTTGATGTTGGTGGTGTGTATGATTCTGAGAGTGAACGTTATGACCATCACCAGTAAGGCTTCACTGAAGTGTTTGGTCATCAGTTTAATACCAAACTCAGCTGCGCAGGGCTTATCTATATGGTAAGAGGAATTACATTACATTCTTGTGATATTTGTGTGCTTGTAGAGACATTTGTGCTGATGCTTCTGCCTTTTAGCACTATGGCTTGGAGATAATTTCTAAGGAGCTTCAGCTTGATCAGAAACATCCTAATGTACAAAGATTGTTTCTAGCTGTATACTAAAACTTCATTGAGGTAATCCAGAATTTGTTTGCTTAATTATAATATTTTTGGTTTTTATGGAGCTATTTTGGTCTTTGGTTTTCTTCTTGTGTGTATTAGGACGCTGAGAAGGAGAAGCTGTGGAGCCGGAAGATATCTTTGAGGTCGATGGTGAAGCCTGAAGTGGAGACATCCGTGAAGCCGAAGGAATAGAGGTTGAAGCCGAAGGAATAGAGGTTGGGCTTGGAGAAGAAGAAGATGACTGGTTTTAGTTTTGTAATATTAGGTTTTGGTTTTGGTTTGGCTTAATTAGTTTTGTAAAATTAGGTTTTGGTCAGGTTTAGTTTTGAAAAACTGATTTTAATAAATAAATATTTTTTTAATATAAAATCAATTCATAAATATTTTTAATAAATTTTCTTTTAATTTAAAAATAAATTAATAACATGAATCATTGTTATATTTGTATAGGTAATAACATCAAATTAATGAGTTTTAATAACATTTGTATATCGTTATTATAAGTATTAACAATTGCATAGACAACACCGCTATTGTTGTTTATTTTAATATAGCATACGATTGTTCGCTATCGAAAGTGTCGGACCTATTATGACGGGCGATCTCAGAGTATTTTAAGGAGCGCTATGGTAGTGATCTCATAGCATTTAACGTCCGCTAATAAAACCCATATTTCTTGTAGGTGGGTTTTAATAGCGGACGTTAAATGCTATGAGATCGCTACCATAGCGCTCCTTAAAACGCTCTGAGATCGCCCGTCATAATAGGTCCGACACTTTCGATAGCGGAACAGTCGTATGCTATATTAAAATAAACAACAATAGCGGTGTTGTCTATGCAATTGTTAATACTTATAATAAGATTGTAAAACCGTTATTAAAACTAATTATTTTGATTTTACGTATACAAAGATAGCAAATGTTTCGTGTTATTAATTTGTTCTTTAATATCATAAATTTTATTAAAATTAATTGCGATTTGGTTTTATTTTTGAAAATTTAATATTTATTTCAAATATTTGTAATAAAAATAATTACTGATATTATTAAAGCTAAAATATGTTTTAACAAACAAAACATATCCTCTTTTACATAAACCACCAAACCACAACACTTCCAAATACTATCAATCTACCACTAACAACCCTTCACA